TTTTTTTTTTGCGTTCACACAACAAAACAACATGATTTTCCAAAGTATAGATAATTGATTTTGGCTTGTTATTACAAAAAAATACTGATTTATGGACAGACTAATGATTTCAGTAACCTGTGGCCGATGGTTAAAGTTGGGAAACATTGGTAATTCACCCCGAGCTATGCTTCAAGAGGTTGACTGTGTAGAGTCTATTAGGTATGTCAAAATAGTAAACATAAAAAATGTGCAATGGCCTCGCTGGGATTCGAAAGACGGACCTCCCGTTTGGCAGCAAGACGTGCTTTCAAAGTTACGCTATGAAGGCACGCGGTAAGGAGGCAAAAAGTACTTTATAACTGTATGAAGTATGAGCTGGTAGAAAAAACTGACTGTAGGAGGTCTTAATAGTTTTCTCTATGAGTGTAGGCTTTTGAAGTTTTCCTTATGCGTGAAGAGCTATCAAAAAACAAATTTTTTGCTGGCAAATTTTTTGCCAGGAAGTTTACCTTTTATAATCCTCCACGAAGCCTGGCTTAGATTGAATAATTTAGATTATGCGAAAGCTTATGAAAGCTATCCGCTTGAAGGAAGGAATGCCTTCGTGGAGGATTTTTAAGAAAATCTGTTCGTATTCAGTTTACGCACGGGGGGGGGAATTAAAACTTTTATGCAATCAGGCCGTTCGCTGAAATATGAAAAGTGGTCAAACTGCCAATGTTCAATGATTTCACCACTCGACCGCTGGTGGGCTGCTTTCATGAAGGCCTTCCTCCTCATAGAAGCATTGTGTTTTTCGTGTTCAAATAATCTATTCCTATCCTACTACTTTTAATCATATCTAAATAAACAGAGCATTTTTGTTATTACTTTGTTATATTGTGAATAAGGAACGTCACATAATCAGTCTCAAGAAAATGAACTGCTTCTTTTCTCTTCAAAGCTTATAAAAATAGCCATTAGTTACATAACATTAATTTTTTTGTTTCATACAAATTGTTTGAACAGAATTGGAGGAGCACTTTAGGAGAACTGGGTCGGTTGTTCTAAGATTAGAGAGAAATCGTTGGTTTCTCTCTTTTCCTGGAGAAAGGGCGTGGCTTTTGTTTAAGTATATGCTAACATTTCGCAGACGAGTCAACAATTCAGTTAAGCTTACTAAATTGCTTAAGCTTCGGAAATATCTGAAAATATTCAATGCCTAGGCTTCTGTCGCTGCTCTGCGAAATGCTGTTCATTCATCTTGTGTTATTAAGTCTGTCTTCAGTTGCAGATATTTGATCCCTCTACCTCTGCTTTTACGGAATCTTTTTAAGCCTACGAGCTTAATTCCAACTCGAAATTCAAAGCATTTCGCGACCTTTTGAAACTCTCTGTAGCGTAATATCACCGCCTCACTTCGGAAAGGGGGAAAGCAGGGATTGTCAAACTTCCGTCGTTGCAACGAAGTAAATCTATAGCATAAAGCTAAGGAATTATTAAACAGATTGAGAATGATATTACAGATAAATAGCAGGGAAATTCATTTGAATGAGAGGCATAATATTACGCTATAGAGAGCGTAACTGTACTTTGAGAAGATGTGCGTGAATTAAAAGGGGCTGAAGTTTGCACAATAGAGTAACGAATGCAAGGAAGAAGATGCAATCAATAGTTATAACGAACTACTCAATTTGACATTAAGTATACATTGAAATAGCTGCATAACCCCGAAATATGCTGAAGCTTAAAACATCCGTGATAGTGTTCCTGTTATTTAACCAAGTGACAAAATCGTAGCGGATGCTTTGAATATTTAAATTTCGGAGAACCTGGCTTCCGGTGTAAGACAATTTCTTCTTCCTTGCAGCGTGCTTTTGTGGTGTAATCAAAAAGCACGTCCAGTTAGCGTTTGGAACGCCCGGAATTCGAATTCTGGCGACAGCATTGCTGATTTTTTATGTTTTCTACTCTCATAAATATCTAAATAGAGAGTGGCACTGAACTTCACGAGTGAAATTAGAAGCTGAACTAAAATGTGGTGAACAATAAGTCATCACCATCGGATTTATCAATTGAGTCCCCTTCTCCTCAGCTGCCCTGTAAGTGCGAAAGAATGAATTTTCCCTTGCTTGCCCCCGAGCGGTAATGTCGCTGAGCACTGGTAGTTCGGTCCGAGGTTCGGATCCCGCAAACGGGCTGGCTGCATGGGTGTTTTCGTCGTTTTCCCCCATTCGTAACGTGTCTACGAGCCAGTTTCCCTTAGAAAGTCCTCCACGAAGGCATCCCTCCCTTAAGGCAGATAGCCCTCGAGTGCTTTGCCGTAATCTAATAAACCAAACCAAAAACCCTGCTTGCCCCTTCCTGCGTTGTGTCACTGGAAGTACGCTTGGCTATAATAATAATAATAATAATAATAATAAAAGTTTTTTAAAGCTAACCACAGCACAAACTGGAACTGAAATTTTATGATATATTATTTGTAACACAACAAGGGTGTCATCCGTTCAAACAATTTGCCAATAACATTCGTTTTGGAATTTACGCAGTTTTTGAAATTTTGACGTCCACGATATTTGGATCCTTTTATATGTATTATGCCACATTCTTGCGTTTTTTAACTGCATTGGGATTAACCATCACTTTATGTTAACAGCAGGGAATTTGATGAAAGGAAAAATTTAAGACATTTTTGGCAATGAACGACTCTGTCATTACTTTCCTCGGAATACAAATATAAGCATTACACGTGTATTTTCTATGTATAAAAACACTGCTCACATTATTTGCATTATTTTGTTATGTTATATCGAGATGTGCAAAAAGGCACTGATGCATTTTTTTCATAAATCAATTTGTTTATTGATGCTTCATTCTGTGATGCCAATTATGTTCATTTTATTATAAACTAGCGTTCTTTAAATAGGTTAAAATGCTGGTTATAATTCTTCAAACACGCGGGATTCTGCAGTAATCTTTATTTGAATTCCAGGATGGTAAACCTCTTAATATTTAAAATCATGCATTAAATGTTTACCTTGGGAATGAAATAGGCAGCGAATCACTTCCAGTTGAACCTGAACTCAACAGTTCCCATTTGCTCCGATTGCAAATCAGGAGAAGCGGGAAATCAGGAGAGCGTCACAGATTTATCACTTTTCTCCCTCTTAAAAATTCTAAAAATTGCTTCACAACTGTTACTATGATTACGTTTAGCACACAAAAAATGGTTAAGTTTCTATTTCTTCTTGAAAGAAGATTGAGACAATCAAAAACTTGCGTTTTTAACTGTTGCTATAAGCGAAACCTCAGCACAACATTTGCAATCGGAGCAAATGGGAACTGTTGAGTTCAGGTTCAACTGGAAGTGATTCGTTGCCTATTTCATTCCCAAGGTAAACATTTAATGCAGGATTTTAAATATTAAGAGGTTTACCATCCTGGAATTCAAATAACGATTCCTGCAGAATCCCGCGTGTTTGAAGAATTATAACCAGCATTTTAACCTATTTAAAGAACGCTAGTTTATAATAAAATGAACATAATTGGCATCACAGAATGAAGCATCAATAAACAAATTGATTTATGAAAAAAATGCATCAGTGCCTTTTTGCACATCTCGATATAACATAACAAAATAATGCAAATAATGTGAGCAGTGTTTTTATACATAGAAAATACACGTGTAATGCTTATATTTGTATTCCGAGGAAAAGTAATGACAGAGTCGTTCATTGCCAAAAATGTCTTAAATTTTTCCTTTCATCAAATTCCCTGCTGTTAACATAAAGTGATGGTTAATCCCAATGCAGTTAAAAAACGCAAGAATGTGGCATAATACATATAAAAGGATCCAAATATCGTGGACGTCAAAATTTCAAAAACTGCGTAAATTCCAAAACGAATGTTATTGGCAAATTGTTTGAACGGATGACACCCTTGTTGTGTTACAAATAATATATCATAAAATTTCAGTTCCAGTTTGTGCTGTGGTTAGCTTTAAAAAACTTTTATTATTATTATTATTATTATTATTATTATTATTATTGTTATTGTTTATTGTTGTTGTTGTTGTTGTTGTTGCTGCTGTTGCTGCTGTTGCTGCTGTTGTTGCTGCTGTTGTTGTTGTTGTTGTTCTTATTGTTGTTGTTGTTGTTGTTCTTATTGTTGTTGTTGTTGTTGTTCTTATTGTTGTTGTTGTTGTTGTTGTTCTTATTGTTGTTGTTGTTGTTGTTGTTGTTGTTGTTCTTGTTGTTGTTCTTGTTGTTGTTGTTGTTGTTGTTCTTATTGTTGTTGTTGTTGTTCTTGTTATTGTTGTTGTTGTTGTTCTTATTGTTGTTGTTGTTCTTATTGTTGTTGTTGTTGTTGTTGTTCTTATTGTTGTTGTTGTTGTTGTTGTTTGTTGTTGTTGTTGTTGTTGTTCTTATTGTTGTTGTTGTTGTTGTTGTTGTTGTTGTTGTTGTTGTTGTGTTCTTATTGTTGTTGTTGTTGTTGTTCTTGTTGTTGTTGTTGTTGTTCTTATTGTTGTTGTTGTTGTTGTTGTTGTTGTTGTTGTTGTTCTTATTGTTTTGTTGTTTTGTTTCTTATTTGTTGTTGTTGTTCTTGTTGTTGTTGCTGTTGTTGTTCTTATTGTTGTTGCTGTTGTTGTTCTTATTGTTGTTGTTGTTGTTGTTCTTATTGTTGTTGTTGTTGTTGTTCTTATTGTTGTTGTTGTTGTTCTTATTGTTGTTGTTGTTGTTCTTGTTGTTGTTGTTGTTCTTATTGTGTTGTTGTTCTTATTGTTCTTGTTGTTCTTATTGTTCTTGTTCTTCTTATTGTTCTTGTTGTTCTTATTGTTCTTGTTGCTTCTTATTGTTCTTGTTGTTCTCTTGTTCTTGTTCTTCTTATTGTTCTTGTTCTTCTTATTCTTATTCTTCTTATTCTTATTCTTCTTATTCTTATTCTTCTTATTCTTCTTATTATTCTTATTCTTCTTATTCTTATTCTTCTTATTCTTATTCTTCTTATTCTTATTCTTCTTATTCTTATTCTTCTTATTCTTATTCTTGTTCTTGTTCTTGTTCTTGTTCTTCTTGTTCTTCTTCTTCTTGTTCTTCTTGTTCTTGTTCTTCTTCTTGTTCTTCTTCTTCTTGTTCTTCTTGTTCTTGTTCTTGTTCTTCTTCTTCTTTCTTCTTGTTCTTCTTCTTCTTGTTCTTGTTCTTCTTGTTCTTGTTTTCTTCTTCTTGTTCTTCTTGTTCTTGTTCTTCTTGTTCTTGTTCTTTCTTGTTCTTCTTGTTTTCTTGTTCTTCTTCTTCTTCTTGTTCTTCTTGTTTTCTTTCTTGTTCTTGTTCTTGTTCTTCTTGTTCTTGTTCTTCTTGTTCTTCTTGTTCTTCTTGTTCTTGTTCTTGTTCTTGTTCTTGTTCTTGTTCTTCTTGTTTGTTCTTGTTCTTGTTCTTCTTGTTGTTCTTGTTCTTCTTGTTCTTGTTCTTATTCTTCTTGTTCTTATTCTTCTTGTTCTTATTCTTCTTGTTCTTATTCTTCTTGTTCTTATTATTCTTGTTCTTATTATTCTTGTTCTTATTATTCTTGTTCTTATTATTCTTGTTCTTATTATTCTTGTTCTTATTCTTGTTGTTCTTATTATTCTTGTTCTTATTATTCTTGTTGTTATTCTTGTTGTTATTCTTATTCTTATTATTTGGCCCAAGATGGACAGGGTTTGCGTTCAAGTTCGAATCCTGGAGAGAGCTTCGATGTTTGTAAGTGTATAGTATCTGTGTGGTAAGCGGGCATTTAAAATACTAGCCAGCCTCTCGAGAGGCTTGGCGGTAGGAGAAGAGGGATGGGAAATTCTCGGTTGCATACTTCGAGGTTTATTGTATAAAACCTGGACATAACTTCTCCTTTCTCGCAGGTATAATTTGGTTGCCTCTGCACCTTGGGAAACTATCTCGGTCATAAGACGGTCATTCCCGATGGGTCGTAGCCGATGGGTCATAAGACCGATGGTCGTGGCCATTCCCAGAGAATGCAAAAGTGAAGTGTCCGACCATTTGAAACAACAATTTTTGCTTCCCCTTTCTTATGATGCGTACTGATTTGTTCAGTGTTCTTAAGTTCTGTCACGTTCAGTGAATATGATCAAAAGCTTTAATGCATGCATGATTGTGTGTTACCGAATATTCTTTTGTCGGTTACAGCATGCCCCTACAGAAATTCTAGACCTATGTCGTTTCACGTAGCAATTTAACATGTGACCCAAAATGGAGATGATGTTTCTTAATCCATTAACCAACCATCCAGTCGTTAGGCGTTTTTTGTAATTTGATTTACTCTGAAATTCTACAAAATCTTATCATTTAAAAATTTCCCAAAATGCTTTATAAAACTACTACGGACCTGTAAAGGGCATTTTTAAATCTCTTTAGTTTTGTTTACATAACATAAAAATGAAAACATATACAGAATAGTAAAAAGCATTGATAATAAACAACGCTGGTTTTATCAAAAACTAACTTTTTGAGTTGTAAATAAAACGTGAAGAAGAAGATTGAAACAGTTAGTCAAAAGATAAAACAGTACATTTTTGGAAGAAGGTGAAACTAGAACTGATGAATCAGAAGATTAACTTTCATAGATGCCATATTGCTAGGTTTGTCTGTCAATATAATCCTATCCAGAAGTGTCCAGAAGATCAAAATCTAAGAAGAAACTGATTCAAATTTGAAGAAATGTTGTATTATCATACTAAATGTGCATGCTTGTCATATTTCAAGAAAATCGGCTCTGTAAATTACAAATTGAATTTATGATTTTATCCAAGTTTAAAAAGAGAAATTTTTTAAACATAAAAGCCAATACTCGATGAATATCAACCCAAATCTGATGAAATATTGTGTTTTCATCCTAAATACATTGTAAGGTTTATCCTAAGTTGCTAACAGTTATTCTTAGTTAAAACCACTGTCATACATCTCCTAATTTCAGCTTACAATTTCCTGCCACAACGTGTTTTCAGAATCGCGGTTAAATGCAAATGAATGAGGAATAAGTGTTTAAAGTTGTAGTTCTGTTAACTTCGTTAGAGAACCAGAGATTCTGACCAGCGCGCGTTCGCCTTTTAGGCTACTCTCTCTAAAGCTATTTCTACGCTCGGCCGTATTTCAGGCCCTTGATAGCTTCGCCATTTAGTTAGCGTTAAGGGGCCAACTCTTGTAAAATTTTGATAGCTTCGGCTATATGTTTTTAGTTAAGTTTTATTTCTTAGTATTCCTGAGTTCAAGCCCAAGTGGAGGCTTTGCTGTAAACTCCAAGAAGGAGTCAACTTTTAAATTCATTTTTAATAATAAAGGGTAATTAACCCTTCGTACGTTTACGTTTCTATCTCTCTGAACTAAGTGATCATTCGCTTACCAGTTCTTAACGTTCCACACATTAATCTGTAAATTCTAGGTTGGAACATTACAACGTGCATGCTCAACTTTCAAGAAAATCGGCTAAGTGGATGAAAGATAATTTCAGAATTTTGACCCAGACAAACAGATGAACCAGCCTAAATAAAATCGTTTAGTAAGCATTTGTTTTAGCCTACGTCTAATATTAGACAGATTCCAAATACATTCTTTTATGATAATCCCTTATTTTAATTGGAGGTTTACTCAAAATTTACCAAGCAGTTAATTATTTTTGCAGTTTCTTTTGAAAATAAGTTTTCCCAGGAATTATCTCCAGCAGTAAAGTAGATTGGGCTTAATTGTTTCGTTCAAAGGATCAAACAGCTTCGTAACTCAAGACAAATCTTCAGTTTGAGTTTGTAAATCTATGTACTGAATTTTGAAATTGAACTATAGCTCTAAAAACATTTTACTGAGTTACCGTTTTGTAGTAATATAATTTTCCGTTAACAGTAAGGTCTTCAAGTTATTGAATAAAATTCAGTTGCGTAATATTATTCAGTTGCGTAATATTATTCAGTTGCGTAGTATTATTTCTGAAATTCTATTGAACTGTATTTGACAGGTAAAAGAGTCCACAATGTGACATAATTGTATGGAATATATCTGTACTTTATAAAAATTGTAGACTTAGCATAAAATCATAAGCTTCAGTGAAAATATAAAATTATTTTTCAAGCTGTACAATTGAAGTGTGCTAATTATTTTTAATTCCACGTTCTTAAATCCAATACGCATCCAGTTATAAAAATAATAATTTATGAGAAAAATTATTTTGAAAATATGATTTTGCATAAAGTTTTTGCTTTTAAAAAAGAGCATTATATGTTCAAACTATTAGAAGGTTTTGACCAGGAAACAAAATCAAATATCTCCTCACCAAAATTTAAACCATGGATCCCACAACTGCTAGCTAGGCGTGATAGCACTTACATCCCGATAACACGCACAAGGAGCTGCAACAGTTCGTTTTATCCTTCAGGTAGCTTTACCTGAAATTATCCTCATTTTATTTTTTCCATTCCTCAACGTACACTAAAACGTATGTTTCGTATACTTAAATCTATTCATTTCGTTTTCAAGAATTTCATGATCGACCCAAAAGTGTCAAAATGCCGTCCATGAAATCAAAAGGATATACTATTGTCAAATTAGGAGAAACTAAATAATACGTGAAAAAATACATTTCCAGGTTCACCACTTAGTTATTCTGAATAATTTAATAATATTTTTGAATTAATGAATATAAACAAATAGAAAGGCTTTATCAGCCATTCTTCTCGGCTTCTCTTAAACGAGGAGTATCAGTTTTTCATATTATAATTAGTTAAACTTTTGAAATGATAATGCTCAAAAAAAGATTGCGTTTCTCATCCAAAACTATAATCTGATCTTCTTACACATCAAAGGTATTTAGTAAGAAGACTTTAACAGTTCTTAACATCATAAATAACACTTTAACCTTTAACACATGGTATAATAGGAGATGGATACTCCTCTTACCCCATGTTCTGATATTTTAATTTGATTCTTTTTCATTCTTCAGCTCATTCCTCTGAAACTATTTGAAAGATTTGAAGAGCTTGGGTTCAAAAACAAATCCATTTTTCAAAAAGATTTAAATGGCACCACTATGCACAAAGGAAAGCAATATTACGCTTCTTACAAACTGGTTTCATTCGAATAAAGTCATGTGCATCCACTGGCAGCGCATATAGCACAAAAGTGTTGACAAATCGCAGCCTGTCTACCAAATTCGGACATTTCCATGCACTCATGAATTTCAACGATCCTCTTTCGACTTAATGTCAAAATCAACCGTATTTTGCTAGCAGACTCGGTCCGTTCCGGCATCAAATTCTCCCCGTTGGCAGATAAACATCAATAATGTCTCTGCGGAATTGTTGTTGTAAATAGAAGCTGACAATTCCTCACTTGCGTTGGTTGCTGAAACTAACAAAGAGATTTAAAATAAGAGGGAAATATGTAGGCCATCGTGAATGGGAAAAAAAGATAGCTTTGTGAAGTGAAAATGAAAAAGGATTTGGATGCAGAAGAATTGAAAAAGGCCTTTGAAGATAAAATACACTGCAAGCATTGGAAAAATGGCAACAAAGCATTTAGGATTTTAAAGCATGACTGGTCTAAAGGGGACTAACAGCCTAAAGGAAAAAAATAAATTGTATAAATAGTAAGTATAAACCTAAAAGTGCAGATCAGAAAAAATGAAAATTTATCGAAAACGGTTTGCAAAAACAATTTGGTTCATTGTGAGATTTTCTAAGATGCTCAAATTGCTAATGCCCCTATTTTTAAAGACCCACGAGCGGCCGAGCGATAAAGTCGCTGAATTCTGGTAGTTCGGTCCGGGGTCCGAATCCCGCCAAATGGGCTGGCTGCATGGACGGTTTCGTGGTCCCCATATGTAACATTAATACGAGCCAGTTGTGCATTTATTGATTTGACTTATTTGATTTGGAAAAAGGTCCTCATCCTCTGCTCTAGACATTGATGAATTGTAGAACTACGCTTAGTAACTATATCAACAAATAAAAATTTAATAGAATTCATGCTATCAGGTTCAATGTTCCGTCTTACTTTCTTCGGGAACATGCAAGGACCTGACTCGGAACAGAGAGCTTACTAAAGCTAAGTTCAGTCACTGTGGGAAGTAGACAGGATACACAAGAAGGGTATACAAAACCCTTTATTTTTCTCTATTTACAATAACTTCCGTACTTCGGAATACAAACAGACCCACTACTTGTGGTCTAAACGTAAAAAATATAAAAATAAAACTAAACTCTAACTTTAACTTTAAAATAATAAACGTGGAAGATTGGCCTTATATTAACAGGAAGCCGTATGTAGTACAGAGAACTATTAACACTACAATACGTTTAAAAAATTATCACGAGGATTAAACCTCTGGCCTGGAAGGCAACCAGCAACTGAGTAAAAAACTGCTAAGGTAAGCGGCCTGCTTCGACTAACTCCTTTCTTTCTCTCGCTTGGAAAAAAGCCACAACTTAAGTACTTGGCGTTCGCCAGAACAAATTTTGCATAAATAAGTTAAACGCTTTTAATTCTGGCCGGAAGTAGAAAATAAGAAGTGATAGTAAAGATTTAAAATAAAATAAACGTTAGTAAAACTTAAGATCCTTACAGCTTAAAACGTCTGTACAGCCATTCTTATCTTATCTAAT